CCCCAAAACCCCAAAACCCCAAAACCCCTTAGGTTACCTTCAAAACTGACAGATTTTAATAACAATTAAAATGAATTCGCAGACATTGAGAGCAGGAGGTCCAAGCTTTCAGCAAAGTAGAGATTAGTCATTGTTAGATTCAAAAAGTTGGAGGGAACAAGTGTCGATCAGCTCTCTGAGGATTATCAGTTCAGTCTATAAATAATAGGAGAAATCTTTATGAATTGTCATAAGGAAGATAAGGAAGGAGTAGATTCAGAGATCGAGAATCTGGTGAACGATATCAAATAGTCAAGATGCTCACTTGATAAGCAGCTGAAAATCAAACTTCTTTTCAGATACTCAATAGAATCCAACATTCTTAGAAGTTCAGTCAATAGTTAGGATGCAGACACCAATAAAAGCCTCGGGAGAGATGTCTACATGATAATGAAATAATAACCTCGATCTTTAGCTTCAAGAAGTTAAGCCCAAAACCAATGAAGATCGACTTCGACAAGTTACCTTGGATATGAAAAAATTTTGTGATCAGTATGTGAGGCCATTCCCCCGGAGCTGCGACGTCAGTAAACTTAGACGAGCCCACCTTTACTCATAAAATCCAGAGAGTGTAAGGATGGGCTCAGAAGAGCAAAAAGAGAGAAATCAAGGTCTCTGAGTTTAGGAACAGCTTTAAAATTATTGGAACCATTACTACAAATGGAAATTTCTTTGTAAAGTTATTTGATAAGAACACGAATGACTCAATATTTTCTGGATATCTGCAAGACCTGTCCAAGATAATGTAAAGAAGAAGGGAAATATGGAATGAAAGAATTGTTGTGTTCCTGGAAAATTCCAATTATCATAAAACAGCGAGAGTAGAAAAGACCTTAGAGTAAATATGAGATTCCCCCAGTTTCATTTCTCCTTATTCTCCTCAGTTTGTAGCCGTAGAAATATTCTTTGGAATCATCAAGGCCAGGTGCAGATCTCAAAGTGGAGAGGGAGAGATAAATATATCTCAAGGAGAAAAATATAAGCTAATTGACAAGATTTTGGATAAAATAAAGCCCTCAGAAGTAATAGGAGTGCCCCAGAATATCCTTTGATATTATGAAGGAAGATATTATTAGAAGATAATATAAAATAATTGTAGCCATAAGTATCAATTTAAAAATTGCTTTAGAAGAATATTCGAAATTGTGAGGTAAATTCAAAGGAGAAAATAACGACGATTAACCTTCAATTAATAGCATCCTAAGGCTATAAAAAATTGTTAAACACGCTCTTCTGGTATCTATCTCAATGTGAATTCCTAACCCAAAAAGAGTTACAAAAATAACATAAAAACCCCTCCACACCGCCTAATCCATAAAAACACAGATTCCAAAGTCATCCCTATAACACCTCCTGAACCCCCAAATCTCTAATACTCTCTCTAATCCCCTCAACCACCTCACCCTATTCCTTCCTCTTCTACTCAATCCCTTCTGCCACTCCACTCAAAATTATTTCTTCATCCAAACCTAAACTCTTCCAATCTGCTCTAAGCGTCCTGGGGTTTTGGGGTTTTGGGGTTTTGGGGTTTTGGGG